AGATGATGATATTTTATTAGCAAAAATAGGACTATTTTGATGTTGTCTATGGAAAAAAAATGACACTGAATAAAGTACCCTGTGGAATCTTTTGTCTGATAGGGCTCTAAAACAATGTGGCATTTTAATCATTTTCACACATTTTCAACCTGTAGAACTTAAAATGTCATTGATTCCTCATATTGTATTACTGACATTTCTCATGAAATTTACAGTATTATTTAACTATGTTTTTGATGAATATTTCTTGAACCCATATTATTAGTACCAGTCAGACAGGAAGTAAATTAAAGCATATATAAAGAATCATTACCATTAAGACAGGTATATTTTAGATACAAGTACAGTCAACATCTCTCTATATAAAATGTAATATGTTACATATATAATATGTAATAATGTATACTTGAGGCATATATACCTATTTACCTATATATATAAATATTTATATATATAGATATATATGTATATTTATATATCATTACACTAAATAGAATACAGAAAAAGCGATACACAAAAATATTATTCCCATACTTTTATTAGCAAACATATTTTAGATATACCATGTTTAGCAAATATCTGTGTACACAAAACTGATTACCAAATAACCATGTAAGAATATATGACATCATTAGAACATAGCAATGCTGTATACAGTTGAACATGACAGAGAAACAAAACTCAAGGTGATGTTGTGGAAAACACAAAAAGACGTACGGATCTTGCTCTTTGGAAACTGGAATTCTGTGCTTTAAGTTTTCAAAGGAACAAGTGTCAGTATTTGAAAACAACAGTAAATAATATGTGTGGTTTCCATGCTAGGCAAACTCATGAAGTTTGATTAGAGAGATTAAACAGGGAAGTAAACATTTTTTTAAAACTTGAAACGCATATGATACAGCTTAAATAATTTAGAAGTAGCAACAAAGGCATTTCTGAATTAGTGGGTGTGAATGCCCTGTCTCCAAATGAACAAAATATTAATGGGATTGTTTATAATGCATATTAGTTCATAAAGTACAAAGCTACTTTGCCTATGGTTTACCACACCCAAAACAAAGGTTGCATAAAAGGTATTCTAACAGCATAGCAATTCATATTCTGTATCACACATTTTTTTTTTTTGAATAAAGCTTTCAATCACTGGTGACATGAGTTATTACTACAGAATCTATTATGGTGGGCAGGACTACGGACTTGGAGGCCTGGGCTGTGCCTTTGGGTGACTCCAGCATTTGGGCCCTGGCTCTAGTTATGGAGGTTATGGATATGGCTCTACCATCCGTGAGGCTATGGAAGATGCTGCCCACCTGGTTAAGAAATCTTGCACAAAACCAGGACTTGAGGTAGTCTTCCTGATTCTTCAGCTCATGAATGTATCTCTCACATTAAATGCTTATCAGCCAAACCTAGATTACTGTGACAAATCTTCAGACAGGTGACAAATGACTTGTGGAAGCCATCTAGTCTTGCAGTTTTTATTTTGGAGAGACTTGCAGGTTGAGCAACAATTTTGCTTCTTCTCTAGGGATGTGTATTTTGACATAACTCATGTTTCAGATTCATGGGACAAATGTAGAAAGTCTCTTTACATTAAACTTTGATATTTTAAATGCTTCAGGTTTATCTTTTCCACTAGCTTATAAATAATTGTTAATATGTACCAACATTGTATGTGAGTTATTCGTGCATGTATCAGCATTCTGTATGTGTGTGTGTGCGTGTGTGTGTGTGTGTGTGTGTGTGTGTGTGTGTGTGTGCCCGCTTGGTGACAATTTCCTGATGATGTTGTTATTTCTGTAATCCCAAGAAACGTTAAGGGGATACAGAATGCCCAGCAATTCTTTCCACACTGTACTCAGAGATTGTTGTTTGAGCAACAAACAAATCTCTTATACTGCTGGAAGCTGTGTTCTTAATGAATTTCTTCTCTATGGCTACACTTTTGGCCTCACTTAAATGAAAATTGAAGGAGCTCAGAAAGCATGCAGAAATTCCCTGAATTACTATGATTAGGAGAGGTACTATTGTAGCTTCCAGATACCTGAAGTTTTACCTCCACTTAGATGTATAGATCTGCATGTCCCTATTGGGTATCAAACAGTATATCATACTGTATATTTTGGCTCCTTTAAATGTCTTAAAAATACTATTTTTTGCTGAATAGTTTTACTCCATCAAAGACAAGGCTGCCTATATTTGTGTAACTCAGTTTATGACTCTGTTTAGAAAGCTACTCTCTTAGGCCGTGCTATGTGAAAGTTTGATAACAATAGATTTCTAGAAGTGACTGCATTGTCCTTGGCTGCTCTGTTTACCAATTATCCCCCCCATTAGTGTTTTCAACTTCTTTATCTTTGTCCAACTTTTATTTTCAAATGCTTTCTTTACTGATGTAAAAGCCTGAAACACATGAGGATTTAAGGAACTCTGTTGTTTCTCTATTTATTTACAGTTGTCACCAGTAATGAGGCTCTTACGTTTCCTTTTATATTAAGGGCAGGCTTTAAAAGAGACTGCACATAGGCTGTCACTGAAAATTTGACTAATGTATGATCCATTCATATAATAATTTATACAGTATAATACTTAGCATTGGATTGTGAAAGTCAATCTGGTCAAAGACAAGTGTAAACATAACATGAAAAAAGGAAAGAAACCATCAAAGATGACACATTTTATATCCCTCAAAAGCATAGGTTCATCATGACAAGTGAAGTAACATTTGTTGATAATTCTGAAAATACTGTCAATAGCGAATTCAACTCTTTATTCCTATAATACAAGGAACAAACATAATAGATCTGAGAAACATCAAGTCTCATACAGTGGAATTTCAGGGGATCAATACCAAATGTTATGAACTTACAAAATAATTATATATTAGTTTACATACAGTACAAAAATTCATATTTTTAGACAGACACTGGCAATGTTTAAGAAAAATGGCTGTGTGGAGCTCAGTGTACTCAGCTTTTTATGCCTGGTAAAGCCACAGTGGGTGAGGCTTCCCTTGGTGGATTCCATCATGTATTTGTTCAATTATCTGCACAAAAGTAATGCATCATCACACTGCACCAATCTTTAATGAGCGTCAGAAGTTGAAAGATAAAAAGAATTTCCTGAGATCTCAATGATCTTACAAGCCAGATGGAAACTCAGACAATAAATATATAATTACAAGGCTGTGTGTTAAGCTTTTAATAAGATGTAGGCATGCACTGTTTGCAATGGAACTTATAGGAAGGACGTTGAATCAAGCTTTATGTGATAAATGTAACTTCCCCTGAGAGATGCTTCTTAGGATTAATATTAAGGAAAAATAGACAAAAGGAAGAATTACGTACTGCTGCATGTGGTATTTTAATTAGTCAGAGGGTTCCAGGCAGCTCATTTCTCCAAAGCATAAAATTGCATGCAGAGTTCTCCAGTAGTTATATAAGTCATTCATCATTTTCTACAGAGATCCATTTAGAAACTAGAGATTGAGGAGTACAGTTGGGATTCCCATAGAGCTCTTCCTACTTCATAAGTTATATCATCATCAAAAGTTTAGTGGCCACATGGTAGGAATTACTGAAAGTTGGAAGAAGAAGAAACTGAAGAGAGAATTTTAAGAATCACTGCCCTGCTTTGTAACTCTTACAAATCTAACGGAGATAAAAATACAAATAGTTATATCAGAAAGAATATCTGTCTAAAAATGTGTTAATACAAATATATTAATCAAGATTTCATTGTTAGTATTGTGAAATGTATTGCACTTTGAGACAGGGATGTAGTTGAGAGATGGAGAATTTTTATAGTGTGCTCTGGGTTCTATTTACAGCACTACTGGAAAAAAATTACCAGACATTTGTATGAAGTTAAAAGCTATCTCTACATCAGTAACATTTCTGTAGGTAAAACTCTGCCAAAGCAACACCAGATATTCTGGGATATTTTGTCAGGGTTTCCTGTGACTAATATAAAGCCAAGCATCAGTTTCCAGCTGTGTTGAATTCTGGTCTGAAGGATCACAGGAAAAACTGGCTTTTGCATTCATTCTGACAGTCGACAGCATACTCATCCTTTTAGTCCCCTTTTTATGCTGGCTGTCAACCACACACTACTTATAGTAACTGGAGGCCACATGCATTACGTGGTGTTGGCCTTCTCAGTTTGAAAGAAGCAGAGGCATGCTATATCCTCCTGCTGCTCTTTCATTTCTTCTGCGGCTATAAAATCGAAAAAGTGGTATTGAAGGGCTCATTTAAGTAGCTAAGCACACCCTCAATAAACTTTAATGTGGACCATTTGAACCAACCTGGTCATCAAAGTAAATCCATCATAATCATAGTGCCATGGCAGTGAATACCTCCATTTAATGTATATACATTCAAAAGGAAGAAATCCTGGGGCCCACACATGCTACTTCACATAATAAAGAGATGTTCTCTGCAATGGATAAACTTGCCTTTGTCAAATTGACTGGCTCTGGAGCTACCCACAGATTGGTGAATTACATTTCTGGGTATGTTTGAGTGGGTCATCAAGACTTGAATTTGGGTACTGGGTATAGTCTTTGTTCTCTTCCTCTCTGACCTTCAACACTACTCTCATGTTTTGCTTTCAGGATGCTATGAAACAAGGAATTTTGTTCTGCCATAACTTTCTCTTGGAGATTTGTGCTTTGGAGCCAGTTTACCATGGACTGAATTCCCTGAAATCATGGACTGAATTACATGTCTCCTCCTCTAGGTTGCTAATGTCAAGTATTATATCTTAGTAATGAAATGTAATTGATTAATACAGAAAATTCACACTAAAAAAGTGAGATTATGATTTTCACTATATCTGTTCAGAAATTTTAGAACTGGTAAGTAAGAAGTTTCAAGCTGGGTCTTACTGAAGCCCTGGAATGCTAAAAACAGAGCTTGATGAGTGATTTGGTCAGAATTTAGAAGATCAGAATGCCGATAGGAATGCAGAGAATAAGGAGAATAAGAAACAGACTCAGGATGTCGCACTTGGGAACAACGACCCTGTTGGCATTTGGAATAAACACCATGTGTGCTATACCATGGTAGAAAATTTGCATGCATCTGCCCATGTCCTGAGACTTCTTAGCATGACATTAAGGGTGATAGAATAATTGATCTGTCACTTGAAATTTCATACCAGCTCAATATACAGACTGTTTTATGGATACTAATAGTTGCTTTCATTCAGAATTTTTTGAGAATCAGAAACAATAATAAAGCAGAAGCATTTGAAAAACTTAAATCTTGGCCTAAAACGAACCATGTTTAACTTTACAGCGATAGGAAATTTGGTTTTTGGAGATATTGCTGTCATTAAAATGGTACCAAGTACTTTGAACCAGGACAAAAAGAAAGATACTTTGTGATTATCTAAAAAATAAGTGAGACTACAGCCATCTAAGAATCAAGGCTGCCAAAGCATAAACCTTTCTTAAAGAAGACAGTCCATGGACATCTGCTCAAGGAGAACCTCCCAAAGAATTGGTTCCCAAGAGCTTATTTCATTTTATTCAGTCACTTATGCAATCAGAGATTACTGACACTGTGGACCAATGGTTCTCTCTGCTGCTCCCATAGACTACAGATCTTGGCATCATATGCAGAATGTGGGATCACAGAGGCTTCTACCTTTGTGGGAGACGAAGTCCACAGGGCCAGACAAGGCATCTCTGAGAAGTAAGCTTGTGAATCTGTGCAAGTGAAGCCACAAGTGCACCCTAAGAAGTTGGAGATGCCAAGAATGTGGTTCCAGATTGATTACTTTAGACACTGATCACTTTCTATGTCCAGCTACTTGTTAACTAATTAGCTTTGCTCTACCACATTTTCTACCCAGGTGTTCCTGCATTGGCGTCAGTATACCATGAACTGAATCTGCTGAAACCATAAGTCACACAAACCTTTCCTCCTATAAATTATATCATAGCAAATAAAAAGCTGGCTAATACATTTTACTTTAACCTTAATTGACTACTTCCTACCTTTTTTTTTTTTGGGGGGGGGAACAAACACAAAGCTCTTGGTACAAAACTATTCAGAAATGTGTGAAATATTCTTTATATAAATGTGTAAAATTCTCACTATAAATTCTCATGAAAGACCTACATGATCATATGTCTTTGGTGCAGTATTCCCCTAGTTCTCCCAATTCACTTTATGCAAGTTGACCCTCAAAGGAAACTAATTTGTTCATATTTCAGGGCAGCTTTGCTTTCTGTTTCCTTTTCCTGGTAAACTTTCACCCAAGAGCTAAATAATTATATCATTCACCTCTTGGGGTCTCTACCCCCAAACTTCATTTATAAAAACACCTTTCCTAATCAGTCATATGCAATGTCAATATCTCCCATTTTTCAATGCATATCATTCATCTATGCTTTATATTTTCTTTCTAGTAGTTAACATTCTGCAATATCCTTTTACATTTGATTTAATGTCTATCCCTTGCTCTCATTAGAATGTAATTTTCAGAAAACCACAGAGGTCCTATTCTACCTTGTTCATTACCTTGAACTACGTTTACAAATGCTTGGGGATATTTTCAGTCCTGTTTAGCATTCAGTAATTATAGATAAGTTAGATCTGTATTTGTTTATGATTTTCCTCTTTTAGTCCCATGGTCTTGGGGGATTTGTTTTTCTTCTTATGTCAAATTTAGTTAAGTAAAAAAAAAAAATTGCTATTTATTAGACTAAAGCAGTTAATTAATTTGAGTTCAAGAGAAGTTAAAAAAAAAAACAAAAACAAAAACAAGAAAATTGATTCAAGTGGAAGACTGGCCATAAGCTTGGATTACTGGTAGCTATTAGAGCTCTTTGCCGAGATGTAAACTTTTAGGGAGAGTAATAATGTATCTAGCCGTGGTGGAGAAAATAAGAAGGGTAGTTTTTATATAAATTTTTTACATATTTTATGTAAAATTTTAAATATTTCAAAGCAAAGGAGAGTACAAATGAGAGGAGAAAAAGAAGGAAGTCAGTGGTGTTGCTACCTACTGGCTACTCTGAGGTGTGGTCAGTCCGAGAAGGGCGGACTTGAGATATTTTTAAGTAAATGAATGCACCTTGAAAACTAAATTTTAAGTGAAATAAATGGGACACGCATGTTTAAATATTGCACTGTTTCTCTGTTATGAGAAATGCAAAGCATAAATAGCTGTTGCGAACTAGGAAGACAATGTTCAAAGCATAAGGGAAACAATGGAGGAGCGAGGGGGTAATGGAAGGAAGGAGTAGGGCTAATTTTTAAATTTTTTTTCTGTCTTTTTCTTTTTCTTTCTTTCTTTTTTTTTTTTTTTTGTCTTCCTCGGTACCAGGGATCGAACTCATGACCACACACTTGCAAGGCAGGCGCTTATGCCGCTGAGCTAAATCCCCAGAATAGGGCTAATATTTTTTAAGTGGAAAAAGTGCAAGAAGTTTTTGGGAGGGGGAAAAAAGATAAATGGGGAGGGAGGTGAATGGAAAAAAAACCATCCCTATGATGAATGTGATAAAAAATATGCTAATAAAATTAATCTTTAAAATAAAAATATTTAGGAATGGAAGACAGAGCACAGTTGTCAAGATCAAAATTAATAAGAGAAGGTTTTTATTAAAACAAAAAACCCAAATTACTTGATAGTATTGAGATATGACAATGAAAAAGGAGTAACAGTCTCAAAAGTACTCACACTGTTCCGTAGGTAGATGGCCCAGAGATAAGCCCTTCTCTTAACAAGTCAATATTCCTTGGTTATTTTATAAATGACTTTATAGATGATATAAATGAGACTATTACCCAACCTCCAGACAGAGCTTCATGTTCTATTTCATATTCTGATCACATCCTAGCAAGATTCCTAGCTATATGTTATTCATGTATTTGTATAAGAATGTACTCCCCAGGAATTTCATGAACTACTTTCTTCTCTACCTAAGGCATGGTGGTGTCTGAAAGACAGTGAGACAGTAACCATTTCAGTAAATATTTGAGGAATGATGGATAAATGGATGAATTCTCTATAAAAGGATACAGAAGCTGCCATTATCATTCCAAACACTCCTATAGACATTTCTAAATGACAGTGTTACATTAATCAAAACTCATAGTGAGTTTCCTGAAGACTCAAGAAGGGTTAAATTATGAGGAGCATGCTTTGATTTATTAAGGCTACAAAGCACATCTAAAAAGAAATGGTTACACATGGTTAATTTTCACAATAATTAGTTTCTTGATTAAACGTGTAGTTTCGCACTTTAAATTTAATGTCTTCTCTTAAGTCACGCTCTCTCTGAAGACAAACCTGTTCAAATCTCATGTGAGAGCAGAGATAGTATGGCATAAGTATGTAAAAGCAGAGGTTCTTGAGCCAGAAACCTGACTTCAAATCTCAGCTCAGAAACAACTATTATTGTAATTTGTGTACATAATTAAGCAAGATAATGACAGCATGATGAAGAATTGTTTGTGTATGACTTTAACATATATAAATGGCTGCTTATGCTGTAGGCCCTATATCATGATTATGTAAAGAATACTTTCCAGGGGCTGGGAATTTAGCTCAGCGGCTTAAGTGCCTGCCTTGCAAGTGCATGGTTGTGAGTTCTATCGGTACCAATAGAAAACAAAACAAAACAAAACAAAACAAAACAAAACAAAACAAAAAAAACCCCAATACTTTTCATATTTACTTTAAAAGACAAAAATATATATGTATAATTATCTCTTTACGTATTTTTCAATCATTGTATCATTTAAGGTTCTACTATTTGTACAAAATCATCCAAAAATCCTTGTTTTCTGAATGCCAGGGAAAATGTCCTCCTACTTTTATATTATTTATTTATAAGTTCTTGCACACATTTTGCAGTTATTTGAGGTGTAATAATTAAAAATAAGGTTTATGTATTATTATTTCATCTAGTTGGCCAGTGTGCAATGTTTATTGACCTCAAAGATATTTTGAGGGAATTTAATCTCTTCTATTTGATTAGCAATTTTTCTTTTTCTGTTTTTTTATTATTGAGATAAAATATTTGTAGATCTTTGCAAAACACAGTAAGACAAATCACTGCATGTAAATGATGTGTAACAATAAAATCCAAGTAATAAAAACTCCCATGTTCTCAAGGCATTGGCCATTTTTATGTGCTAGAGTCTTTTGTATTTTTTCCTGTTGTTTTGACATGTATTTTGTAAACAGTAGTTGCCTAACAGTGATGTTCAAAACCAGAATTCCTCTAATTAACTAAGCTTTTGATTATCTATTGCATAACTTCTTTTTATCTCCCTTTCTTACCTTGCTTCCAAGTCTTTAGTGACTAATATTCCACTTCATTGCTCTTTGAGATCAAAATCTTAAGTGTTCACAAGTGAGCAAGAATACGTGGTCTTTATTTGTTGAGGTTATTTTTACACAATGACTTCCCATTCCGTCCATCTTGCTGAAGAATATAGGATTTTATTCTTTCTTATGGATGAATAGTTTTCTGTTTGGGGCATCTCAATTGACTCCTTGTCTTTGCTATTGTGAGTAGTGTTGTAATAAATAAGGGAACAGTTATTTTACTTCCTTAGAACATACAGTAGTGCAATTACTGTATTACTTGGCAGTTCCATTTTTATGTTTTTAAGGGCTCTCTTTATATTATTTTCCATAGCTGTTAAAAAATTTAGAAGCTCAAAAGGATTCACAGGCTTATATTTATCATCGTCTTCAGTTGTGAATTCATTGGAATCTAAAGAAATCAAAGAAAGAAACAATAGGGTGGCGGGGAGGAGTTTGGTCCTTTCTGTTCTGGGCAGTAGGCTGAGAATAAGAAGAGGTGGATGAATCATACTTCAGGTACATCGAAAGCTTATTCGGTTAGCTTCCCTTTGTGTAATTAAAAAAAACCACACAGAACTGTAGGATGTATTTCCTAAAGTGTCTCATCAAATCCCATATTAGTGATAATAATATGGCTCTCATCAGGAAAAAAAAATTCTCTGAATCATGATGAATGTTAATGGTAACACTTTAAAAAAATATATCCAACTGCAGTGAAATCAAATTCTTCTAACTTCAGTTGAGTACAACACAGTAGTTCTTTATTATTAATAATCCCATTCAATTTGTATGTTACAAGGCACCATCAGTGCACAAATACATGAGCAGCTAATTCTCACTCTTCATCAACTGGTAAGGGAAACAATGAATATAATGAAAGTTTGTGTTTTGTGAAATTCAATTATTTTGAGCTTTTAAAAAGTAGAAGTATCTGAGCATGCACATTACCTGGTTTCATATTATATACATTTATTATGATAGGGTGAATAACAATAGAAAAAAAAACGAGAGCTAAACAAATTGGTACAAGAAATTTTTGAAACCTGCATTTGTGTCTTTAATTTTGTACTGACCCATCAAACTAAAACCAAGAATTGAATCATATTTATTTTAGTCCTAAACTGCCACTAATGAACATTATGGCATAATTTGGCTAATCTCTCTGAATCACAATTTGATCAAGGATAAAAATAATAAATAAAATAAATAAAATTTTTAAATGGACACAAATAAATTATCTCAAATTTCTTTAACTCATTAATTTCTTTAACTGTGACTACATAGCTCTATGATTGAATAGAATTTGGAATCTGAAATACAAATATCTTTGTGCATACAAGGATTTTTATGAGGTTAGTAAGTCATTATGTAATCTTTATTAGGAAGAAGGCTGTTTCTCCAGAACACATGACACTGAGATTTTTAACATCAATGTAGGGCTCTATTAAAAGCTAAATATCCTCAGTGCTACTAAATGTGACACCCAGTGAACTTTAAATTCACATAATATTAGCATGAACATTATAATTGGTTGATATTTTAAAAATAGAACAAATTTCAGGGAACCATTACGGTTTAATTTATGTTACTTCTTGGCAGTGTTGATATAACATGGTTCACTTGGAAGAGAATCAGGACCCAAGCAATGCCAAAGGAATGGGGTGCAATTAGAGGATTAAGGTAGCCTCCTGTGAGGCAATGTGAATACTTGAAGCTATGGAGATTTGTTTATGGATGTGGAAACTCAGATATGCACAGAAATAGGCACAGAAATTATGAACACCATAGTGTTTATTAGAGGCAACGTATTTTTCTAGACAAACACGTAAAGCAGAACATCAAACACATTATATAACCTTGCAGAACTAATTGCATAAGCAAGTTGGAGATGTGGTAGGATTAGGAAACAATGCACTTGGCATAGTTTTCAAGTAATATGTTCTAAGATGGCATTTAGAGGTGTGGTGTTCACACTCATCAAACAGATATAAATGTCCCTAAGTAGTCTCACTGAGCAAACCTCCAGCACCAAACCTGACTCAACAAACTTGACAATATGAGCTACTATGGCAGCTACTATGGAGGCCAGGGCTATGTCTATGGCTGTGGGTGCGGCATCTTCCACAGACTGGGCTGGGGCAGTGGCTATGGAGGCTATGGATATGGCTCTGCCTACAGATACGGATGCTGCTGCCCATCATGCTATGGAGGATACTGGTCTTCTGGTTTCTATTGAATAAATACTTGAAAACCAAGAATTCATGATTGAGTTTCCTTTAAAACATACATTCTTTTGGAAACTGTTCTACGACTGTGTACTTTCTACGACTTGTGTACTTTATTTTGTACTGCACTGTTAATAAAATTGCTATATGGATCACCTGAATTCTGACAATAATAGCAAAAACCAAAACGGATTGGATACTAGGGCTTGATCAGTAACATTCTCTATCATTATACTTCTGTGTTGGGTGAAGCATCATTATGTTTCTATAAACTTTTGCCTCTTTGCTGCTTGATACATAAGAATAAAGTTTTTCTGACATAGTAAATTTGTTTGCAAATTTCAATTCTTGCGTCACAATGAACTGTTACGGTTAATGTAATCATTCAGTATAGCTACATTTTCTTAAGTGAAAATGTTATCTTTGATTGTATGTTCCTGTTTCTGTTTCCTTTCTTGTTCTCACCTCTTCTCTCTTTTCTTTCCCTCTTGCCTTTAAAAATCCTTCTCCTATTCTTAATCTTTCTCCCTCTTGTTATCCTCATCATAACCAACATCTATACATATACACAGGAATTCTATTTGCAAAGGTTCAAGAGCACTGTATGATAATAATCAAATATAGCTTAAATGTAGAAGTCCATATAACATGTTACAGCAGGAGATGGACATATGTTGACTTTATTTATTATGTATCTGAAACATACCCTAATGAAAAAGTGATAATATAAAATATTTCAGCTTAAAAGCAACACACTAACACAAAAATGAAAACCATTTACTTCTTGTCTCATCTACATATGATTTTCTTGAATTTAGCAAGATGTTCCAAGAGTAAAGAAAAATATGAAAAGCTATCTCATATAAAACTGAATGCATCGCTGAAATTATGGTAAAGAAAATATTTATGTCTGATGATTTCACTGATGAGTTCTTAACAGTTTATCCTTCAGAAAATAAGAAAAGAATATTATTGTAATTTAAAGTTAAAAATCACAATACTAAATATAGCAAATTCACATGCATGGAAAATTATAAACAGTATTTATTGTTGGCACAAATGCAACATTCTTGATATATTTAAGCTAGGACCATATAATATAGAAAATACTTGATATCTCAGTGAATTTTACTTGGAAAAGAAAAGAGTGGACTATAATGATAAAAGTATAAACAATTCAATAAACAACAGAATAAATACAATATATGCATGATAATATTCATAAATTATATTAAGTTTTTGGCCTTTTCATTTCAGTATAATTTTAATGTGAATCTAGTGCTGATGAATGATTTATCTCTTTAGTGTATATTTTTTTTGCATTTTGGAAAACTTTTGTATTTGGCTGTTATTTTTAAAAGTCAGATGGCCTTTGTTATTTCTTTTTAACTAAATTTATTTTAACTGATAAACAAAAATAAAAAAATCACAGATACTAATAGAGTGATGTGATATTTTGATACATGCATATACTATGTAATCACTTTAAAAATAACTCTTCTATTAAATGGCTTTCAATTCCTTACAGAAAAAACAGTCAAAATGTTTTCCAGTAGCTTTTTGAGATCTCAAATATAGAATTACTACCCATATTCATCTCACCACATGAGAGTGCACTAGAAAGGCTGACACTTCACTAAATGTAACTTGTATCCATTGAGCCACCTTTCCACATTCCTTCCTCTTTACTCCTCTTTCTAGCCTTTGGTAAACACCATTCTATTTTCAGTCATGAAAATTCATTATTAGGTGTTTTTAACATCTTGCACTTGAAAGATTTGAGAAGAGATTTAAAGGAATTGAAAAATAATCTCTTTTCATGGAAAGGATGATTCAATATCATAAGAGTATAGATTTCCTTCTGAGTTAATTTATAAATTCAATTCAATGTTAATAAGAGTGCATGTAGTTTTGTTGCTCTGTAGGAAATAGAAATTGAATGAAACTTCATGTGGAAAAATATATAAAAATAGCTCAGACATTGTTAAGAAAAATAATCCAAAGAAAATCCATTCTTACCTGATATTAAGATATGATATAGGTTTCTGTGTAATTTAAACAATACTAGTTCATGAAAAAATAAATAAAATGCAAAATTCATATATAGAAATAGGCAATGTAAAAATTGACTGTATAGTAATCTATACTTTACCTAAGTAATCTATATCATATAGATTACTAAAGTATATCTTTTTAATAAATAAAGTATAGGTGTGTTTCAGAAGATGGCGACTTGCTAGGTAGCTGGGTGGAGAGCCTCTTTGGGAAAAAAAAAAAAACAAAAAACAAAAAACAAAACTCAGATGCTGGAATTTGGCAGCATGAAGAGGGCCGGACTAGTGGAGAGGCATTCTCATGACCCCAGGAGGAAAATTGAAGGAAAAAGAAAAATAGAAAGAGGAAGGAAAAACATGGGTTGAGGGCTGGAGCTGGACATGCTCACTGAGACCTTTCCTGTACTGTGCTGGGAGTACTGTGGAGTTGCACCATCCAAGGTCACACTGAAGCTACAGCAGCCAATAAGGGGAGTTGGTGAGTCCTGGGCCCTGGGCAGGAGGACACTGCACAGCTTGGAGTCAAGGTGGAGAGCTGCATTAATTCTCAGTGAGTGCTGGAAATTGGATCCCACAGTGGGAGTGGCTGGCTGGAAGGCATCTTGGAGTGGGGCAAGGCCCAGTGCTGTGGTGTCATCAGTCAGCCAACCCTGGCCCAAAGAGGACTGATGGGATCAGCTTGGGCTGAGTCATGCCCCTGGTTGGGACCCAATAGCCAAGGACAAAACTGTCTTGACCCTGTGACGTCCACCACAGTACAGACTAAGTTGCTGAAGGTGCTTGCTGGTTGACTGGCTCAGAGGAGAGGGGCCAGCCAACATTCCTTGCATGCACCTCAGATAACAGCAAACTGGAGAAGGCAGCAAGCCCCCAGCCAGCACTCTTTAGAAATACGGAAAAGGCCTGAAACCTGCACCACACTCCTGTCTGAAAGAAACCAGAAACATGACAAGTGAAAAAAATAAGAGAAAACCTCCAGCCATTGACCCTGGGAAAATAAGCCCAGGAGAGGTAAATACAGGAGAGAACAGTGGATCAATCATGCAATATCGGCCACAATATCAACAGACATAAAGAAATACTTTCATGACCTCATAGATGAACTTGAAACTGAAATTCCAAACCAAGTGAGGCAAGATATAAAAGATTAATTAAAGAAATGCTAAGCCCCTCTCAAGAAAACATAGATGGAAGAATAGAGGAACCCAGAAAAGGAAGAGAAAGCTTTAGTGAAGAATATAAACAAAATCTAGAATACATGAAACAGATCTAAAGAGATTACCAGGAAACTAAAAACTCCATTGAAAGCTGGCAAAATGTCTTGACAGAAACCCTAAAGTTAGCCATTTAAAACTTGAAGAGAGCTTTACAATGTGTGATTGTGAAAGAAAAGACTTATTAAAAATAAAAAGGAACCAGGAAGTAACAAGTCAAAAACTAGAAGATGACAAGAGGATCTATACCTTAAGAATAAAAATGTGAGTTAAGAAGTGAGAGTAACTACTGATACCAGAATTCCAGCAACAGTGGCAGAGAAGTCTCAATGAATGGGGCAGACAATGGAATGAAGGAGAAAAGTGGACGAATAATAGCAGAAAAACAGAATAGTAGAGATGACATGGAGAAAGCAGGCTATAATCTTTAATATAGATAGCACTGATACACTAACAAAAAGAAACACAGGCAGAGTAGATTAGGAGACAGAATCCATCGAGATGCTCTGAGTAGGAAATATACTCAACCTGAAAGACGGTTAATAAACTGAAAGTCAAAGATGAGAAAACAATGCTCTAAGTGACAGGGAACCAGAAAGAAATAGGGGCAACTTGTCCAGCAGCCACAGATAGGTTGGAAAGTTATGGCCCTTTTGTGTAGTATAGAACTACACAGCTAGAAGAAAGGAAAACCTTGTGGCTTACTTACCTAGTAAGTAAAGGAATACAGCTCAAGATCAAGCTCAGGGGTAAAAATGTTCAGCATCACTCAGATAGATTACAGGTTGACCCCCTAATCTAAAAACTAAAGGAACTAGTGGAACCCAAAATCTACAAAGCATCCTGAGAAATGGAAAGGAAGACAGAGGACATTGTTAATAGTGTATCAGAATTTAAAAGTCACAGTAATCTTATCACTGTTTAGTTTGATTTTATTTTGTCCTGGTCTGTCTACTCATACTGGATTTGAGGGCACAGACAGGTATCCCAAAAATAGCAGGCTATACCATGGTAACTAACCTTAATTTCCTATTAACTTAAATGAAGCCCTGTATTACTAACATTGTCTTACTATGACTGATCTTATTTGAAGCTGGTTTGTTAGACTGCTGTTTTATCTTAACTGATTTTATTCAAATTTGGTTTGCTTGAGAGTATCCAGTCTAAGAGTAGAGGCAACTACACTGAAGATGACAAGATGTAATAAGATACCCATTGCAGTTTGATTATTAACTGCTTTTGAAGTCCTATAATGTCTCCAAATTTGTGCTTTTATTAAAATAGCTATGTAATGCTATATTAAATTATAGTATGTCTGATGATATGGACAATTCTATTGAAAATAACAAGACAGCATATTAACTACCGTACATCACTTAATATTGTGGTTTTATATGTCTTTTTCATTTCATGTTTTTCTAGGAATTTGTTTTGTTGTCTTGTTATGATCTGTTTTTCCCTATAATACAGACAGCATAGATATACATGTAGAGATTCGCACATGGGGAGAATTTCTTAACAGTTTACAGGAACAGATTATATAATGCATGATGTAATAAACAGATACTCTGAAGAAGAAGAAGAAGAAGAGACACTTAGAAACCCAGTGCTAATTCTATAGCATTACACATGATATCTAGCAAACTAGTATTCACTGTTCAGAGTGATATTAGTGTAGTCTCTTATATTCAATTTCAGCATACATAAAGATAAGAGCAGCTACTACGAAGAGAATGAGAGACA